AGACCACATAAAACTAGGACAGATTTCTGTCACCTTCCGCCAACCCTCGACTGAACCTTGATCAAAGTTTCCCTTTGCAAATTCCTATTTGAATCTCTCTATAAGGATCAGAGAGAGATAGAGAGAAAAAGAGAGAGAAAGAGAGAGAGAGGGGAGAGACAGACAGAGAGAGAGAGGGAGAGAGAGAAAGAGAGAGAAAGAGAGAGAGAGAAAAAGAAAGAGAGAGATAGAGAGAGTGGCGAGAGTGAGAAACTCGATACAAAATAAAAATCAAATTCATTCATAGATAACGTAAATAGGTTATCAGCACAGTGTCTTATTTTTTGTAGGTTGAGTATCTCTTTTTATCTCCTCGTATACGTCGCAGAATAATATATTCGCTTCTTCTTCTCCTCCTTCCTCACTTTCTTCCTATTCCCTCCTCTTTTTCTCCTTCTCTCTCTCTTCTTTTTCTTCACCTATTTTCCTTCTTTCTCTTCTCTCTCTTCTGTTGCCCTTTTTTCCCTCTTTTTTTCCTTCCTTCCTAATGCTCCTCTCTCAATATTTTCCTTCTTCTTCTTCTTTTAATTCTTTCTGTCCTTTCTCTTCTCCCTTTTCTTCTCCTCCCGCTTCTTATCATCCTTCTCGTTCCTGTTTCATTTTGTTATGCTTAATTCATACTTGTTCAACAGCATTTGTATGAATAAAGAGTTTAAATAAAATATGTTTGTTTTCTTAATGATGTTATTTAGACAACAGTCACATAATTTTTATATTGTTTTAAATTCTACATATCCATTTCGCATTCATGTAATATCATCTGTTGGCATTGATCCATATTACTTTGACATGGAGTAAACGCACTTGCGCACTCATCTTTTTCAGATCTTCAGGAATATGACCGTTATTGTTTATCATTTGGCAAATACTATAGTCAAATGTTCAATCCCAAATGATATATGTTATAGATCTATTCGGGTGATGGTTCAGTTGAGCTTGCATGAGCATGAAGAGAATGGCATAATGACACATAGCAAGCACCTTAAACTACGAACTAGCCCTACCGGAAAAAAAACCTGGTCTTGCTGCACAGTTCTCCAGCAATTTAAGGTACAAGACTAGCTAGATCATCATTCACATGTGCTCTAGTAAGACAGGTTATACCCTACTTACTAGTTACAGCTAGCCCATGTATCATCCAACGTGATCTCCCATAACTCTCAATGCATCTACAACTGTTCATCACCCTGCACGTCGCTGGCTGTACTGTCTACGGCTTTACAGTAACAATTGTGAGACAACAAGAAGTTCTCAAAATTGGCCAGACAATAGCAGTATATATAATTATATACAATTGTACATATGATGATGATGTTGATGATGATGATGATGATGATGATGATGATGATGATGATGATGATGATGATGATGATGATGATGATGATGTGGATCCTGATCAAATGATTGACTGAGAGCGTACACGTGACCAGGCATTTATTTTGCCTAACGCGTAATTTTGATAATGACCAGTCATTATCAAAATAATGCTTATGACCGGTAATTAGTAAAATCATGTTATAAAACATCATTTTATAAAACAAATAAAACATCATCTTATAAAACAAATAATACACCTCAATTTGTTTAGGTATTAATAAAATTACCCACACAAGATAGCTTCGAAACAGTCCAAACAAGCCTGTTAGACTGTTCCAAAGGTACCTTGTGTGGGTGACTCTTACTAATGCCCTCACCGCTGTGTATTTTTTGTATACTAATACTTCCTTTGTTTATAATCATTATTGTTAAAGGTAATACAAATTTTTCGGAAATTTTGAAATTGGGTGGATAATGATTCTTTACAATTTTGATATAATTGGATACCCCAGTGGATGTATTATAAGCACTAGAAAATTTAGCCCCTAAACTACTTCTGCTTTCGAGAAAAATTGAATATAAAAATTATCCGGTGCTCCCGGTAAGTTTTGATAAATTTCAAATAGCGCCTACGGTCATACAATGGTAGCTGCGACCATGAAAATCTCAGAATATGTAGTTATGATATATAATTTCCAAACGGAAATAACTAATCGGTCGATTTTAGTCAAAAAACATTGTTTTATAGCTTAATTAATATCTTGACCTTGAGAGGGAGCTATACAACATAGTTTATTATTAACAATTTCATACGTTTAGACTCGATTTCAACCGCGACAACGATCACTGAATATTACAGGATCGCATATGCTTCCAATATGTTCATCTGAACGAACTTCATGACCCCATGCATACCAAAACTTTGTATTACCTTTAATAAAGTAATATTGAAACAAAGTTATATCAACGTATTTGTAATCTCTCTTTATATCTCTCTCTCTCTCTGTTTCTTTTTCTTTCACTCCCTGCTTCTCTCTTTTTCTCTCCCTCTACTACTCTCTCGCTCTCTCTGTTTCTCTCTCTCTCTCTCTCTCTCTCTCTATCCCTCTCTATGCTTACATGTACGTCCCCTTATTCTCCCCTTTGCTCTATCTCTCTTTCACTCTCTCTTCTTTATCTGTTTCCCTTGTTTGGAATCATCTCTTTTCTCTTCTCTCTCACTTACTGTCTTCTTCAGTTCGTGAAATATTCAATTCTCTTCGTACCTCATAACCTTACCCCCCCCCCCCTTTCTTACACCCCTCCCCCCTCTCTCTCTCTCTCTCTCTCTTTCTTGTTTCCTTTCTTTCTCAGGTTCTCTATCATGTATTAGCAAGTGCCCGTGAACTATTTCTATGTAATGAGTTACAAATGAATTCGGGAGTGGCTTGTTGTTTTAACACAACTTCACTCAATTAACAAATTGAATAAGATTATTAATATGCACACATTAGTCGCTATTTAAAATTCAAAAGCCAAATACAAACCAAACAGAGTCAAATGTCAATTGCATGTAGTAATAATCATATCGTGCTATTTATTCATCCATTTTACCATACAAATATAAAACACTTGTAATGTGCTGACATCACTTCGCATCAAGCTATATAGTTCCTGATAAGCTGAAGCGGTTTCAGTTTGAGCAGGGGGGTGTTTCACAAAGAACCCAAGTCGAACTTAACTCTAAGTTGGACTTAAATATTATGGAGAGAACATTATCAAGATTATGAAATCTCCTTGATAAAAGGAAATATGAATGATTTGAATCAACATTTTAATGCCTTTTAAAATAACTTTTACAAAATATTTTCACAGGCGCTAATGGCTTTCCATAATTTTTAAGTTCAACTTAAGATCTTTGTGAAACGCCCCCCGGGAGTATTCCATGCAAGATAATCCTCTGTTTCTTCCATGCGCAAGTGACGTGTAAACGGGGATTCCCCTGACGAGGGTCCGTTGGTGATAGTGGGCGTGGCATCTTAATTTGTTTTCCGACATCTCTTTTGTGCTACCCTTGACGAGATCCCCCCTCAATTTTCTTTCACGGATGACCACCCCTGGGGCTAAGACATATCATATAGAAACAGTATCCCTGTTAGAGGTAACAACCATACTTAATAGTACGATTCAGTATCTCTATCAACTTATGGTGGTCAACTACAAAGTACTAGCAGAGTTCACTTATAATTAAAGCTGATAATAATATGTACAACTTTTCAGTTTTGAACAGCGAGATAAACAAAACTTTTGCAATAAGATAAAACTGAACTTTTTTGAAAATAGAATCCCTTTCTATATCTATCCTTTCACCCACCAACAAATCAATGCATAAAACATCTTACATGAAGTCCCTAAAAAACTGTACGATAGAAGTATGATAATTATGTGTGTAAAAAGTATTACAGTATAAAAACACCAGTGCTTCTACTCAGTACTTCAAATATTGAGCTTTGGTCAGTGGAAGTAAAAGTTAGAAAATGCTATGACTACCAATTGTTGAAATAGGACTGATATTTATTTGAAATAAATCAAATAAGGTCCTTAAGCGATAGATGTGTGCTGTTCATCGCTGTAGTTAACACATAACACATGGAAAACGAAATCAACGTACAAATTAAAAAAGAAATTAACATTGTGCATTATAAATGAAATACCCACACGTCAGCTGAAGTGTGGAAATAGAAACTATAATTATATCATTCATATCATAACACACTAAGACAATTTATACAACCATGGCTAACAGTCCATAGGGATTAGTAATCATGCGCATTTCACGTCATTAATAAAGGACTCGGTAACTTCTAGGAAGTTGAAGTTTTATGCAAACTTTATCTTTGGGTTCTGTCATTCATTTCATTCGCAAAGTTAAACTTTGAAATACGAAATGGTTTCATACAAGGTATCAATCTAAAATATTGTAAATGCATCAGAATGACAAATACACAAGACAGTACTTTAATTATTTTGGTATTGTATGAAAATACCTTCAGATCATGTTTTCGAAGCCCAGTGGCCCCATTTAGTTTGGAATGCTGAAATATTCAATCACACTAGATTGATTTATATCAATTTATTAGCTTGACATAAATAAAACCACTATAAACATATAGGCCTATCTTTATTTTTGCATTTCTTTGAGCTCTACGATACAAATTTATTAAAGGTAAAGACCAGTTATGGTCATGCGATTGCATTGTGAAAGAAACGTTGTGGAATCGATCAGAAAAGGTTGATCATCTAGCATCTAGCATCTGCAAGGTTCTGGAATCATCAAAATGATAAGAAATTAGGCCCATTCTTCGTAAAGTTACAAGCGCTTGGACACAAAAAGATGTATATGGGACTACCCTATATCTCTCACAGACCATGAGAGAAACAAATTTACCAAATATATGAATTAGTAGGCGGTTTCCCGGCAAATTTTTATCATCATGTATTAGTCAAAACAAATTCTTTCACATGATTGGTAATGAGAGCTTCCATTTCATTTTTTGAAATTGGGGCGTTTCCAATACTGGTCTTTACCTTTAATGATATGCCTTGGTCTTTATAATTTTATATCAATTTCTATAGGAAATATAAACGTTGTTCTAATTTATACCTCAAAATGACTTTACTGTATTTGAAGTAAGATCACATTCATGCACATCTTATCTTCTTCCCCTCAACTTTTTCAACGCATTCTAAGCATGAATATGGCGGTTGAAGATACATTAGTACACAATCTGTAAATGTGACACCTTTTCTATTTCGTAGAAATAAAACTACAATCAAATACAATACATGGTATAGTGACTGTTTATAATTGTCTCGATTAGGGGAATGTCTGTGTTATAATGATGAAAATGGAATGATAAAGAAATGATAATTATAACGTTGGATATAGTGTGCACCTATTCATACAATGTGTACAAGGTGCCCGAGGTATGACCCTTATTGGTTGACGTTGATAAAAGACTTTTATCAGTCGCAGCGCTGATTGGTTGACAGTGTGTAGAAGTTTGCATGTCGTAACGCTGATTGGTTGATGGTGTTCTGGAAAACAAATCAGAGCGTTGATTGGCTGATAGCGTCGTCGCGCTTATTGGTTGGTGGTATTAAGAAGTTTCCTTGTTGTAGCACTCATTGGCTGATGGTGTCTAAAAGTTCTACATTCGTAATGCCCATTGGTTCTTGATGCTTAGAAGTTTTCCTTGTTGTAGAAAAACTTAGCGCCATCAGGAGTCAAGCTGGTAAACTTATTGGCGTTCTCATGGAGTACTGATGATAGGGCTTTAGGACCGCAGAAGAAAACACCGATACTCGTCCTGGAACATTAAGAAATAATAAATAATTTAAATAGATAAAATAAAAAATTAAATATCAAAAGATATTAGGTAAAGCAAAAACATTCGAACACATGAACGTTTTAAAAGGGATTCCTCTAGTTTTTACCCAAACATGTCATTTAGTATTTGGTTAGCAATGCATGATGTGACAGGCGGGGGTGGGGGGGGGGGTTATGGGGGTGTACCACCCCCTCCCCCTTTTGCTGCCAAGTGAAAATGTGATGTGCATAGAAAAATGCCATCATGTGGTCCAGACCCACACAGTGTCTGCATCGTCATTGGGTCACCCCCCAAACAAAAACAAAAAATAGATAAATACAAAATAATCGCCTCGCCGCTCTGCATCGTCATTGGGTCGACCCTCCCCCCCCCCCCCACCCCCTTAGCGAAACGCTAGAACCGCCCCCGACAGGTTTTGGGCTTGAAGATCAATGGATTAGTACTCTTCCTCTCTGTATCATACTATCATCATCTTATAGGAATACCATAGCGATAACAGCCTTGTCTTTTGCCATGAATACCTCAGGTTTATAATGCAATTATCGTAATATACACATTAGCTTGGTTATTATGATCCATCAGTTTGTAATTTCTTGTGAAATTGTTGCCATGGTTATTGATAATAAAATAACTAACCTTGGGTTCTCCTCTGCAATCATCTTGAAGTTGGAGTCCCACTTAGGACGACCATAGTGGGTTTTCTGTCTTAGACCGGTGATGGCGTCTATCTCTTGCTCCTCTTGTAGGTAAATGTTCTTTGCCTGGTAGAGAGAAACGAAATATTGAGTTAACATGTTAAAGATGCTGTTTAACTTGAGAAGTACATAAATCGAAAATGAGTCTAAAATGTTTGGGAAGCAAGATCATAATGATAGGTGCAGTCTCATTGAATTATTTTATTTCAATAGTTAGTTATGATGAGAATGATTTTAGAGTAATTCGTACTTCGGAAAGAATGAACTTTAAATTTGATTGTGAGAATGAGATTTAATCTAAAATCAATGTTGTCCTTTGAAACGTTGGTCTTTTTCTCGGTTTTGTTTTCAAAGATGCATTCTTCACATTTTGAATATTTGAAGACCAAAATTTAATAATCCTCGTAAGTCAAGCACATAGCGTACATTTCGATAAACACTTTTGTTCTAAAAATGGGTGTGGCAAATTTCTTCTTTCATATCTACCCGCCTGAGTTTTACACTTATATGCCTAAAGTTTATACTTATATATGCCTAAAGTACAGGGAAAGGACTTTCATTTTTTTCAAAAGGTCTCTTCGAAGATGTTTTGAAAAGCATACGCTTGATAAAGTCACCCACCAGGAAGTTTTCTTAGAGCGATTGAGACAAGTTAACGGGGATTGATGTCAGGGTAATTATCCGGGGGTAGTTGTCTGTGGTAGTTGTCCTTGTCCGTGAGTAATTGTCCTGATGTGAACTTTGACCTACCTGTGTATTGTTCCAGCCCCGGGAGAGATAGATGTAGTATTTCAGGAAGTCAGGTTTGCCCTGTTCAGTGAAGTGAGTGTCAATCGAGTCGAGGAGAGTTGAGAACCACTCAAAGGCATTGGTATCGGGACAGATCCAGAAGAAGTACACCTTCTTCAGCTTCAGAGAGGCGCTGTTGTTTACACTCTTCAGCCTGTAGAGGGCGATATAACAAGTCATGAACATCATGTATCCAATTACCCAATCCCTTTTCTTCCTTTTTTCCGTTGACCATTGACAAGTCCGATATAAAATATTTTACCATTTGGCATGCCTCTTTCCTGTTATAGAGTTGAAATTTGATTCCTGATTACTTTGTTCACAGTCTTGTTATAACGATGATGATGATTGTGGTAATGGTTATTTCTCTGAATTCAAAAGAGTGAAAATTTGAGATCACTTATGGGGAAATTGATATAAAATTATCGAGAAATCAACTCCAAGAAGTGGTTTGATTAATATTATTAAGAGTGGAATCAACTACATGTGTCACTGGCTATTTTGAAAGTTGATTTCACTCCAAACGAAGTGATCTCCAATATGTCCCCCCCCCCCCCCCCCCTTCAAAATAATAAATAAAATAAATAAATATAAATAAGATCTTTTTAAATCCAGAATGACATTTATGTGTATTTAAAGATAAAAACATGTCGTAGACGAATGTTTGTTTGTATTTTTTCTTCCAATACCTGAGCAAGAACAAAATGTTGATTTTTTTTGTAGACAATGAAGAAACAACATACCAGATAGATTTGAGGATGGAAGCGAAGGGTGTTACGCCGATTCCAGCACCTACACAGATAGCAACCTCGTACTTGAAGATATCAATACTAGCTGTACCAAACGGACCATCAACCGCAACTCTATGAAGAAGAATTTAATAATGTACAAAAATGGAGGAAAAATTAGCAAACGAGAAGTCAATAATCTCATTAAATGACTCTCAGTTACAACAATCGTGCACGCTCTTACCTAATTACAGACAAACCTGCTTCAGTGACCACCTGTCTACAAAGGCCATTTTTGTTCCCCTTGGGCGGTCGCTATAGACAGGCTTGACTGTAATTAGATTTCTCTACCAGTTGCATCACAGACACGTAGCGAATGAGAGATGATGAGAGATACATGTATATATGTAGAGAGATATTGAAGAAGAAAGAGAGAGCGAGAAGAGGGCGATGGATTAAAGAGAGAGAGCGAGAAGAGGGCGATGGAAGAAAGAGAGAGAGCGAGAAGAGGGCGATGGAAGAAAGAGAGAGAGAGCGAGAAGAGGGCGATGGAAGAAAGAGAGAGAGCGAGAAGAGGGCGATGGAATAAAGAGAGAGAGAGAGAGAGAGAGAAGAGGGCGATGGATTAAAGAGAGAGAGCGAGAAGAGGGCGATGGATTAAAGAGAGAGAGCGAGAAGAGGGCGATGGATTAAAGAGAGAGAGCGAGAAGAGGGCGATGGATTAAAGAGAGAGAGCGAGAAGAGGGCGATGGAAGAAAGAGAGAGAGCGAGAAGAGGGCGATGGAAGAAAGAGAGAGCGAGAAGAGGGCGATGGAAGAAAGAGAGAGAGAGCGAGAAGAGGGCGATGGAAGAAAAAGAGAGCGAGAAGAGGGCGATGGAAGAAAGAGAGAGCGAGAAGAGGGCGATGGAATAAAGAGAGAGAGAGCGAGAAGAGGGCGATGGAATAAAGAGAGAGAGAGCGAGAAGAGGGCGATGGAAGAAAAAGAGAGCGAGAAGAGGGCGATGGAAGAAAGAGAGAGAGAGAGAGCGAGAAGAGGGCGATGTAAGAAAGAGAGAGCGAGAAGAGGGCGATGGAAGAAAAAGAGAGCGAGAAGAGGGCGATGGAAGAAAGAGAGAGCGAGAAGAGGGCGATGGAATAAAGAGAGAGAGAGAGAGAGCGAGAAGAAGGCGAAGGAAGAAAGAGAGAGAGAGAGAAGAGGGCGATGGAAGAAAGAGAGAGTGAGAAGAGGGCGATGGAAGAAAGAGAGAGAGCGAGAAGAGGGCGATGGAATAAAGAGAGAGAGAGCGAGAAGAGGGCGATGGAATAAAGAGAGAGAGAGCGAGAAGAGGGCGATGTAAGAAAAAGAGAGCGAGAAGAGGGCGATGGAATAAAGAGAGAGAGAGCGAGAAGAGGGCGATGGAATAAAGAGAGAGAGAGCGAGAAGAGGGCGATGTAAGAAAGAGAGAGCGAGAAGAGGGCGATGGAAGAAAAAGAGAGCGAGAAGAGGGCGATGGAATAAAGAGAGAGAGAGCGAGAAGAGGGCGATGGAATAAAGAGAGAGAGAGCGAGAAGAGGGCGATGGAATAAAGAGAGAGAGAGCGAGAAGAGGGCGATGGAATAAAGAGAGAGAGAGCGAGAAGAGGGCGATGTAAGAAAAAGAGAGCGAGAAGAGGGCGATGGAATAAAGAGAGAGAGAGCGAGAAGAGGGCGATGGAATAAAGAGAGAGAGTGCGAGAAGAGGGCGATGTAAGAAAGAGAGAGCGAGAAGAGGGCGATGGAAGAAAAAGAGAGCGAGAAGAGGGCGATGGAAGAAAGAGAGAGCGAGAAGAGGGCGATGGAATAAAGAGAGAGAGAGAGAGAGAGCGAGAAGAAGGCGAAGGAAGAAAGAGAGAGAGAGAGAAGAGGGCGATGGAAGAAAGAGAGAGTGAGAAGAGGGCGATGGAAGAAAGAGAGAGAGCGAGAAGAGGGCGATGGAATAAAGAGAGAGAGAGCGAGAAGAGGGCGATGGAAGAAAAAGAGAGCGAGAAGAGGGCGATGGAATAAAGAGAGAGAGAGCGAGAAGAGGGCGATGGAATAAAGAGAGAGAGTGCGAGAAGAGGGCGATGTAAGAAAGAGAGAGCGAGAAGAGGGCGATGGAAGAAAGAGAGAGCGAGAAGAAGGCGAAGGAAGAAAGAGAGAGAGCGAGAAGAGGGCGATGGAATAAAGAGAGAGCGAGAAGAGGGCGATGGAAGAAAGAGAGAGAGAGCGAGCAGAGGGCGATGGAAGAAAAGGAGAGGGAGAATGAGGGAAGAGAAGGGTAGAAAGAAAGAACGAGACTCTATCTTTGGGCGAAATGAGGGGAAGTACGAAATTTGTTCTTAACTATTATATAGCTTTAACTATTCTTATTTCTCTGTAAAATACCTGGCTAGTTCTTCTTGAGATTGCTGTTCTGGTTTGTCTGCTCCCATTGCTTTGAACAGGTCCCTGGTCCAGTCACCAACAACACGGATATGAACACTGAAATGATCGTCTTCAGGAGCCTAAAGACAAACGATAAACTTTCATTATAAAATAGATTACCCTTTTCCTTCATCCAGCTACCCTCATAAAATTAAACCGTCAAGAAATGTTGTTATAAGGTTAACAATTTGGGAAAAATGCTGTAATAGTTATCAAATTAACTATTTATAAGGATGATATATGGTTGTATGCATAGGCGTATGAGCAAAATGTTGTGAGGGGTCGGGACTGACGCCATTTGCTCGAAAACACAACTTTCCAGTTTCTGGAAGAAAAAAAAGGCTTTGTTATATTTATTAAACATAAACATATTCGGGCATTCACTAAACATGTAGCTGCCCGAATATGAGTTGACGATCGACCTAGTATTGAAGCTGTTAAAAAAATATAAAAATATAAAAAAAATAAAAAATAATCAGAAAGCTGCAGCCCTCCCCCCCCCCCCCCCCCCCCTCCCCCTCATCGCCTACGCCTTTATTGTTATATTGTGAAATGGAATTGGTAAACTGTACGTTACATTTTATGAAAATAAAATAACGAATAATCCATTAATTATATTCAGTACAACTGTAAATACAAATGACATAGCTGGTCTAGAAAAAATGTATAATGAGAAGCGAGTATTGAGGTTTTGTTTAGGTTTGAATTGTTGAAATCTTGCATTTGCATACAAGAAGGCTAATTGACTGATTGGAATGTTCAAATTGGCAACTATCCTGTGTGACACTCACCGATGTAAGAGTAAATGGATGCCACTGCACGTGTGAGATGGAGGGACATTTGAGAAAGATGTACTGACCAGCCTCCATCTTGAATCCTTTCTTCTTCATCTGAAGCTCAATCACCTTCGATTGATGCTTTACAACCTGTAATTCAAAGCCAGAATTCGAAGGTTATTTTGTATTCAAAGTCAATGGAATGGCAAGGTATGCACTGGAAGAAATGGGGGGGGGGGCAGCCTGCCCGTGCCCCCCCCCCCCAACAAAAAAATAATTATATAACAGAAAATTGTTCATAACCTTTCAAATATAAGACCCAGATAAAAGGCTAATGAATTTATTATCATTATTGGGGGTTGCTGATTTTTGTTGCTTCTTTTCGTAACATTGCCCCTTTGCATTTTCTTTTGTACAAGTCAAAATATGATATTTTTTTCGTTTTTTTTTCTCTATGATTCAGCTTTTCATGAAATTAGATATAAAATAAGATTTAACAACAATCACCGTGTGTTTTACCGCTATGAAAGTGTAGGGCCCTTTTTTAGTTAATAGTATTAATATCGATTATTCAGGAGCATTAAAACACAAAAAGTACCATAACACATTCATAAAATGTTACCTTGGTTAATGTAACGGTCTGACAGCTCCTCCAAAATCGAATCATCCTTTCAAGCAAGTAGATGAAAAGCGGACCACTCACCCACTTATAACTCTGCGAAGGAAGGTTAACAAATCGGTTCGTTGATTAATAATTAGGGTCAGATCATTTAGTTCCTAAATGATCAATTTATTAATTGCTTGATTGATTAATTTATTGAATGATTGACTGATTGACTAAGTTACTGGTTGATTGAATGATTGAATGATTTACAATAAGAAAAACAACTTTATGTTAATGGGGCACGCGTGCGAAAGATATTTTGGAAAAGGCGTCTGCCATTTTGGGGATACTCTTGTACTCCAAATTCTTTAACAAGCAAAGAAGCAAAACAAAATAGGTTTCGTGCTGACGAGGGGCACATTTTCTCTGTGGACTTAATGAGGAAGTCCACCCTAATATTGAGTTTGTTTTTAATAAGAGCAGAAAAAAGAGAAAAAAACAAATTAGTGTAAGTTTCAGCAATATCCGACTAAGAATAGGAAAGTTGTGATTAATTTAGTCGTCGTCAGTGAAACACTAATTGGTAACACTGTGACGTATTTTGCGAGCTCCTCTCAAATTTGCTCTGTACAGAACATGTCGTAACTTACATTTTCTTAGTTATTGATTACGGAATAGAATTGTTTCATACAAGGGTTGTTTACATTTTTGCAATAATTATATTTAGGGTGAATGTATGATTGAACATTTTCTTAAGGGAAAATATAAACTTTTGAGTACAGGGCAATAGGAGTGGATCTCAAATGAGAGTTGCCAATGTGATTGATTGCACCTTCAATAATTCATAACTTACTTATTTTTAATCGATTTTTGCTCAAACTTTAACTGACCTGTTTCTCTCATCTTTTGGCTTCTATTAAAACCAACTAAATATCAGGGTGGACTTCCCCTTTAATATGTACTTGAGGTATGCAAGATTGGGACACTTGCCGTGGACATATGAATTATCCATCCACCCTCCTCTAAGGATCCGCCACAGACTATAAAATGCGATATGATATGATTGAGGTACTCACTGCAGCTGATCCATCTTTGAATACAGGATCCTCACACTGTTGAGAAGTAGAACTCCATTCATCAAGGTTTTCAGAACAGAATACTACGTCATGACGTTCGAGGTTCGTCTGAGATCGGATGATGCCTCTGGAAGATCGAAAGAAATATAATTGCAATTGTTTTATGAAGAGACATGAGGGTTTAAAGATTCATATGATAACGTGTTTGTGATGGACTTCTCGTATCGAGTATGGTATGAAACTTTGCCTGAAAATCGATTCTGAATCAATGTAATGTTTGTGACCTGTTTTTTTTTTAAAATATCATCATTATTTATGTATTAGATTTTACTTTGTTCAAGCTATTTATACCATTGTTATCTATTTGCTTGTATTTTTATTTTTATTTGAAATCCAATCTCAAGTTTTTGTTGTAATAAAGAAATAATAATAATAAGTGATAATAAGTTCCATTTCGTCTCAAAATGCTCACGTTTGCTCAGCTTTGTATAACTTTAACATTCCGGGAACTATGACTAAACAAAACTATCAAGATAACCAGTACAGATACAACCCGATGAGAGAAAAGAAAGATTCTACAAGGAATATACACTATTGCCCATAAAGTTGAAATACATTTTTTAACCTCTTTTTCATGAGGTAATTGTAAGAATAATGGATAGATCAACTTTATTGAACAATCTCTTTGACTATTTAGATTGATCAATGAAGTTATGAGAATGTATTAACTTTATCTAACAAGAATAAACTATTATTGTCACAATCATATCATGGAAGAAGGTGAAAAAAAAACTTTATGGGCAACTGTGTATTTTTCGGCAACTTTATATTTCAGTCCAAGTTTTTCATTCCGAAACGCACTCAATAAAGAGAACAATATACAAAAGATGCAATTTCTCTTTTAAATACTTCACAAATGCCCTTTATTCTAGAATGTCCAGTATGTTTATTCAACGTTTTAAGATTTCTATTTATAGCATTACAATGTTTATCTGTTTCTTTGCTTCTTACAAAAAAGGGGGAAAATAAGTGGTTGGCAAATATTTGTCCGACAGTCACGTTTCTCGCACCCCCTCCCCTTTGCAGGTCCAATAGGGACTCCCATTAGCCGTAGAAGGTGTCACACATGGGCGTAAAACTGCTTCCATACTTTTCAACTTCCCCTGGTTTATGGATAACCCATTGTATAGGTAAGGGCATATCCAACTTACCCGACACCGTGGGCAAGCAACATGGCGAAGTAGACGATGAAGAGGTGATGGGTGATCCAGAAGGTCTCGAAATAAGAACGCCTAAAATTAGGAGCAAGATAATTATATAATTATGTGATCATTAGGCATTACAAGATTTACAAGACTTAATTTGTGAATTTAAGAACTATGTGTAAATAAAAATTAAGCGTGGATAATAATGAAGGACAGTTTGTCCCAATGGCCTTCATTTTAGGTTAGGCCCAGTTGCTTTTATTTATAAAGGAAGAGAAAAGTTTTAATGATCTTAATTTATATTTCAGATCTGAATAAAGAATTTAATCGGTTTAAATTAAAACATATTGACTGTAAAAAAAAATTGATTTCATTGACCTCAACCTAATGAATCAATAACCTATGTAAAAATGAATGAAATTTAATTTGATATGTTATAATATTTTTTTTTTTAAATCAAATGCAATAATTTGATGAATACGGTAGTGCAAAGGGACATAAGACGGCGATTATTAGTGAGATCCAATGAACTTAATGGTATAACACAAAACAAATTGAACCGAAATTGAAATTGAAATGTATTGAAATAAATCGCTAATTCTGACCTGATGAATTCTGTAGCAGATGAGAACATAAGTATAAGGACTAAGGTGAGAACAGCTCCAGACCATCCAGCGATTGGGATCAGGGCCTGCTCAATTAGACCAAGTCCTGCCGGAAGGTTCTATGGATCAAGGGGAAAGGGGAGGTAAGAAACGGATGAAATATGTTCAATAATCGATCGATTTATTTCATTATTTATGATTACCAAATTCTTCTTAAAGCTTCTACGTTTCAGACAAATTTACAGCTTAAGAAAATAGTGGGAAAAACTGGTGAAAATATTTCTAATTACACAGAGCTTAATTTGAACAATCCTTACCAGAAACTTTCTGAAGCGTTTGAAAAGTGAAATACCTTTTCTTTTCTTATTTTTTCCCACATCCATAATGTATCACAGCTCTATGGTATAACTATATTCTACATGTTCCAGTAGCGAAGTGTCCGGGATAATAAATAGAAACTGAAATTGAAAGAATTACGATTATATTTTATTTTCATGCCGATGTCAATTGCTATTAATCTCTGTTTACTATTCCGGTATATTCATCCATGTCATGGTGGAAATATTATAAGTAGAATGGATGTAGCTCAAGAAGGGAGAATCCTGTCAATAAAATGAAAACCAACCTTAGCACCTTGGATAGGATTCAACCAATTGTCCTCGGGTTTAACTGTGAACTTGCGACCGATCGCAGAGATGCCATCGCATAAGTCATCATTGTTCGTGGTCACGCAGAGGTAGTGGTTGTAGAGGTTTCGGAAGTTGAAGGCGTGGGCGACCACGTGAACGATCGTCCAGATGACGATCATGTAGGCCACCGTCTTGTGAAAGGTCAGGTTCTTGTCAAGCTGACGTCGGACACTCCGCCTACAAAGCTGTGAATGACATGTCGAAATGGTGTCTCATAAATGGGATTGTTGTTGTTGTTGTTGTTGTTATTTTCTCAAGAAGTTAAGAAAAACATTGTCATAAATGGTCTAGTGGATAAGTGAACTAGTGGTCACCCGACTGCAGATCACAAGGTACGGGGTTCAAGTCCCGCCGCGTCATTAATATCCTTTGGCAAGACGTTAAACTACATTTGCCATTCTCCACCCAGGTGTAAATGGGTACCTGATATGCTTTGCGCTAGTTAATTTGGTAGCTCGGCTACGACCAGGGTAATGTGTAAAGCGCCATGAGCGTCAGAGCCTGACGGATACCAGCGCTATATAAATAACCATATTATTATACCTATTTCATGGCCAAGTATGAGGATTATTGTCAAATAATAAGAGTTCATAGCAGATAAAATGGGTAAATCAGAGTAGGTGTCATTCATTGATATATATTTTTGCAGTGGTGGAAGGGTAGAACCGGATTGTCAAATGAGCTCGCAAGCAGGAACCACAACATCTCAAAACCCTGTTCCCTTTTATTAAGAAGCGTTAAACTATATTTCAAAACTCTCTTACATACCAATATGAAGTTTACATTTACTTTTCCCTTTCTTCTCTGTATTGTATAGCCGAGATTGTTTGGCCGTGGGTTCGGTCTATCACTAAGTTGTGCCTCTCATTAATTAACTCGTTGACTACTAAATTATCTAATTCACCGTAGACTTAACAAAGGGACCACCAGGTTCAGTAAGCAATGGGTTAAATCCAAACTTACCGTGTTGGTAGCACATGATCCTCTGAAGAAAGAGATAAGATTACGACAGATAGGTAGTAAGATGATCATACTGTTCAGGTTTAACGTTGCCCCTGATGCCTTTGCTATCGAGAGACCAACCTAATCAATAAAAGTTATAAACATAAACATTAATCAATGAGAGATATACAAATCAACATTAATTAATGAGAGATGTACAAATAAACATTAATCAATAAGAGATATACAAATAAACATTAATTAATACGAGATATAAAAATAAACATTAATCAATAAGAGATATAAAAATAAACATTAATTAATACGAGATATACAAATAAACATTAATCAACAAGAGATATAGAAAATAAACATTAATCAATGAGAGATGTACAAATCAACATTAATCAATAAGAGATATACAAATAAACATTAATCAATAAGAGATATACAAATAAACATTAATCAATGAGAGATCTACCAATAAACATTAATCAATGAGAGATATACAAATAAACATTAATTAATACGAGATATAAAAATAAACATTAATCAATAAGAGATATAGAAAATAAACATTAATCAATGAGAGATGTACAAATAAACATTAATCAATGAGAGATATACAAATAAACATTAATCAATAAGAGATACACAAATAAACATTAATTAATACGAGATATAGAATATAAACATTAATCAATGAGAGATCTACAAATAAACATTAATCAATGAGAGATATACAAATAAACATTAATCAATAAGAGATATACAAATAAACATTAATTGTTATAAATGTATTCACTTGACTCCACTTAAAAAAGGCAAGGAAATTGTTCAATGCGTCGTTAATCTTTCTCTTCATTTTGCCCAACTTGACTTGAAGCACCTAACGTCTCAACAATGTTTCTATTCTTATTTTTTATTTCCTTGTTCCTGTTACTGATTCAAATATCGCTTCCAATGTCTTTATATCTGAATGTTTTACTTTTTATAATTTTATACTGATTGCATCATTGATGATGATTGTTTGTTTTTTACTGAAAGGGAAAACGTACGCCGATTCGATGATTTAAAAAATCCCTTCACTGCTATTCATTTCTTCATTAAAAATATTACATCTACATCATGTACCGGTACATATATGGCCATATTTGTATCACCCTTTATGAATCTGCTTGACTTATTATGTTGATTTTCAGAAGAAGAAAAAAATTAACTAACAAGGTTAGATCGATGGCCCTCAAGAAGTTAATTGTTACTCAGATCTGTCTCATAATTATAGATGCAAAGTTAAAAAGTTAAAAAGTTAAATAACTCAGATCTGTCTCATAATTATAGATGCAAAGTTAAATAGTTAACAAGTTAAATAACTCTGTCTTATAATTATCGATGCAAAGTTAAATAGTTGAATAACTCAGATCTGTCTCATAATTATAGATGCAAATTTAAATTGTTAAAAAATTAAATAAATCAGATCTGTCTCATAATTATAGATGCAAAGAAGAAGCAAAAGTCAATCTTACCCCGGTGATACGCCTGATGTAGAAGTACTGTGGTCCTTGCTCGTATACAAGAAACGTTACCACCCAGTATGCAACGTTTGCAGCCAGCCATAGCAGCTATGGGAGAAAGAGTGAGAGAAAGGGAGAGAGAGAGAGAGAGAGAGAGAGATAGAGAGAGAGAGAGAGAGAGAGAGAGAGAAAGAGAGAGAGAGAGAGGGGGGGTGGATGATTAGTGATATTAACTACTAGTCAAAGCTACTCATAATTATTATGATGGCTTATCATCTTTCTTTAATTTGACACCTTGATCAATAACATCTGGTCATAGACAACTGACCAGGTCATAACATTTCCAAAACAAAGTCCACGGACAGAACAGAAAATATAGCCTTTAACTACTTATTCAATGTGTACGCTGTCTTGATAGAATTATAAATTCTATATATACATGAATATCATTACTATATATCCCTCACAGAAAATGTATTGTAATGTAGGCCGCGCAAAATCCTCAAAGCGCTTCCTGTGTTCGAAACACCAGCAAATCAAAACAAATTGTCTACAAAAATAGGTAGCAATCTTTTGGGGCGGGGTAGGCTTAATCCCACCCCCCCCCCCCCCCTAACACAAAATAAAATTGCCAGGCACAATTAGAAAATGAAAGTAAGAACCCCATTATTCTTCTAAAATCGCTCCTGGTATAAATATAATTATTTCATGCATTTACTTGATTGACATGGATAGTCAAGCTGAGGAAATTGAGAGCAGTAAAGAAGATATTATACATGTAGGTAGAGGAGAAAGGGGAGGGATGGAGGCATATTGGATAATGATTCTCAATGATTTTACAGAGAATATAATTATTAACATCAGGTTCAATCGATTTCAAGTAAATATGGAGGTACATGGGTGTAATGGCACCCGCACCTCCCCCTCAACACCACCAACACCACAAAAAGGTAGACGTTTAACACTTAACATGAAAACCTTTGTGTGCTATAGAGTACTGTATCATTACTTATTTTAACAAAAAAATGTCACGTTCTAACTCTTTTTAATTGTGCAACTGACAAGCAAAGTTCCAACGGCTTCATTAGACACATTCAAACAGACACGTAAATCAAAACAATATTCTAAAGATTTTGACACGAAATAATGTGAAAACCCCTTTGTATAATTATGTACTACAAATCAGAGACATTAATCATCTGAAGACAAACATCTTATTCTGTCACGTACGCCGGCAATGAGACGACTAAAATGAAGTCCGGTACTCGAAACGTTGTATTCCCACAGGATGACAATGAAGTGATATCGACTATTTTCGTGGAAATAACAATGAAAATTGGTCTACCGTCTTCCGATGACATAAACAGGATGCAGGAGAAAATAGCCTGCAAAAAATGGTGTAAAGTGTGGTGAAGACGCGAGCAAAAGAAATTGTGATTTACAGATAATGCAATGTCCCATTCTTCGAATAGATTTAATCGATTTAGTGTAATGGTCAATGAAGTTTTTTTCAGCAACATACAGTGACTGCTAAGGTTATTTTACCGGAATGTTTTTTGTTTGTAACTGTTAAATAATGCACACAATGCTAAATAATTCTGATCTGCAACCGGCATCACAAGTAGGAATGGAATTGAAAATAAAAAACTACCCCTAACTGTCTAAAATAACTATGGGGCGCTAACTCAAGGCATGCGCAGAAGCCTCCCCCTCCCCCTCTTTCCCCCTCCAGCTGTGTTCAGAACTCAATATAATAATAGAACCTATACAATTATGTAAACGGTATAGATATCTACTTTTCATAATTTATCAACTACATGTACAATTGATATATATATATATATATATATGAATAGAGCTTGAATCTGATTTTGATCTTCCCGTTCAGACATTTACACCCAAATTCATCGGGATACAGTCATGGAGGAAAAAACTAAATATATGCCCCAAAGACCATATTCTAGAGATTTTCTATGTTTTTATTTCGTTTTCGCTTTCAATATAAAAAGTATTATCCGATTCAAAGTAATATGAGTGACAATATCACCGGACATGAGAAAGAAAAAAAAACAGTCGGTAGAAACATTAATTTTCTTGAAACATAATGAAATCGATGCTCAATTATGTATGCGATATGTTTAGGCACAACTTAAACATACATCCGAAACATCCTCTTTGTTCTGCTTCTGTTTTTTTCAGTAGTGCCTTTGAGTCGCCATGTCCCCAGACTGTGTCTACAAGTCCGAGTGGCTTGTGAAAGTAAGCCTGACAGGATAAGGTGCCGTAAACATACCTAATGATAATCTTTTTATTTTTTTTTATTTTTTTATAAAGTCAATACCTAAATACGTACTTTGAACTTCCTCGCTAGAAAGGAAACCCTGACTTTCGTTCATCAAGTTTATATAGTAACAGAATCGCGATGATTCCACAAAATGTCCTCATTAGTTTCATCCGGATTTTGTTTTTTCAAAGCCAACTACATATTATACATGGGATTCCGATTCGTATTACAGTTGATATATTCAGACTAAATTATTGGGCAAACCCACGCAATTCAGATTACACAAGTCCCATGACTGTGCAATTATAAATATATCGGCATACACCAATAGTCGTTTTCAGTCAGTAAATGATTTTTGTAAATTGTGTTATTGTTTCAGGTCACAATGTTTCAGGTCACTGGGTACGTTGTAACTTTATTGATGCTAACACCTTCACCCTTTGTACGCTAGTATAAGATGAATTTGTATATTATGGTTTAAAAATACAATTTTATTTGACGATCTTTTAGATTGATCTTTTCATTTATTTCTCTTTACATGTAATGTATTTTCTTAGCTCTTTTTGTTGTTTGTTCATGACATGCACGACATTACAATAAACTTTACTCAGACAATGGATCGTCATAACTGGAAAAATAAATACAATTAAACTTCCTCCTATCATTCCCCGTATTTCCGTTTCCCTTTGCGTTGCCGTTACTTTGTAGCCGAAAGTTAAAACAACGATAATATTGCTAACGATGATAACAATTATGATGATCATAATATCAATTATGATAAAGATAATAATAATTAAGATAATAATGATAATAATAATAATGATAATAATAAAAAATAGTAATGATAATATTACATTTTCCTTATGAAGGATACAACGTTCATGTATGTGCAGCATGAGTAATTTAAACAATCATCATCGCGGCGCTCCCACGGAACAAGGTCAAATTACAGCAAAAATGGTTTATTATCCAGAGAACAACATTTCCCTTGTGTTTGAACAAACAATCAGTTGACTGTGTCAATATTTCATTGCTTTGTCATATCGGGTGTAAAGTCAAATGTTTAACATGTTATTCTTTCCTTTTTTTTCGTCCTGTTTGGGATTAGGAAGGGAAATTTAGGACGAATGGGGGGAAAACGTTTCTTAAAAAGGTGGGTTATAGGGAAGTTTCAAATTGAAAATGTATTTACTGACATGGCTTACTGTGGGGTGTTGAGTTTGTAAACCAATGTAGGCCTACTTCTTATTCCACCTTCTCTCTAGGCATTGCCTATTTATTTCTCTCTTCTCGATATCTATCCTCTCCCTCTCTCTCTCTCTCTCTCTCTCTCTCTCTCTCTCTCTCTCTCTCTATATATATATATATATATATATATATATATATATATATCTTTATATATAAACATCCCCCCTCTCTCTCTCTCTCTCTCTCTCTCTCTCTCTCTCTCTTCTTTTCTATTATCTCTTTCTGATCCATTTTCGAAACCAATCTTCTGAAAGAACCCCCCTCCCCCTTTCAAACGGCTGTCAAAATGCGATCAAGGCACTGACATAAAAGGGAGACCTTGATTTTTCTCATCAATGACGAATTGTCTGATTACGTAATCACTGGTCTTGTATAATAACGTGCTCGATCATCTCAGACTGCCGTCATGCATTGTCCATAGATAGGACCTTTCCTCCCGTCGAGGAACAGGAAATAAGGCCCAGCCAAGCAGGAAACTAGACATCAGGGGCCATTGTTATCCGTCACAGGACAAAAGAGAGTTGAACAAATCCACAAAACAAAGAACCAGAGGACTTTTCACCTCAATTTAGTCTCATAAATATACCACGGAGTGTTTTTAGCTCCATGCATACTATACTGTATTCACAAGCCGAGAGTGCACCGAACTGAGTTTTACACCGCTATTAATATAATGGGTCATATTGTGGTGGAATTGTGGGATATTACATCTAAAAATCAATGAAGTTATTATGAAAAACTAACCACCGCTTCCACCTCCTTATATTACACTGATGAAAACATATCAGATACATGAATATTCTCTACCACTTTTGATCGATCTATCTATCTCTATCTATCTATCTATCTGAGTATCTTCTCCCGGTTCGGAGGTTGATTTCAACATCTCTCCATTTCACTCTATCTCCTGCCATGCTGGTGCACTCTTGATCGATAATAGATCTAAAACTTCAATCCATGCAAACTGGTGTCTGCATTAATTCATTCTCTTTTGCTATTTTCACTTTATGTCATGTTGATCTAGCTTGCTGCCCAAAGTGCCCAATTCCTTTTCTACTTATATTTTCTTTTTTGGTAGTTTTCTTTAAGGTGCGACATGTTTAAGTAGACCTACTTTTAAAAAAAACTGAAGTTTTCGACGATGAGGCAAAATATGGTTCGCTTAGCCACGACTAATAAACATGTCTAATAACCACTTAATACAACGATGCATAAAGAGAAAAAACAACTAGTGTGATACGGTTGCAGAGATTTGCACCTTACATGCTTTAAAACTCAGAAGAGCCTGGAAATCAAGGGTACTTCTGTGATTGAGTAAAGCTGACTTTAGTTTGGCCCTACTTGGCTATTGTTGAATAGGAGATAGGAATTTATTACGGTGATAATTTTGGAACGCTTTTCGGGTCAGTGGAACATGGTAATTGGTAGCATTGTGTAAGCCGCGGCTTGGGAACAAAAACACGTCTTCCGTGGGAGTTTATAAAGAAAAAATTGAATGTGTGTACATCTCCATTAAACAAATCGTTCATGCATTTGTAATTGATTTTGGAGTACATTTGTCATGTTATTGAACTCAGTTCTCTTTAACGAGCGTACATTATATTTAACAATGCCAGAAAAAAGTTTCATCCCGGAACGTATGTTTATCTGTATGTTTATCTGACAATATAAAACTGACAGGCCTCCATGCTATATTTGGTGTGGAATGCACTAATTACTGCTAATTGACGCCATCCATTTGAAACACTACTCGTTTATAATCTTTTTCATAATGAATCATACTGTACATAGCTTTAGTGTAAATGAAACTATATTTTTCAAATTGGAATGAAGTGTGGTTTATCTTTCAGGAATCGCAAACTAACATCGTTCATTATGTCAGTTGTGACATAAATTATCTGCCCCTGATCTATTCCATGTCAAGTTTTGAATTCTAGTATAAAAACCGTATGCTACATATTTCATTGAGAAACACAAAAAATATGGCTCAAATCTCTTGGTGAATAGTTTATATTTCAGAACTATTATTTAAACTCTTCAAAACTTGTTACGCGTACTCTTATTGTAATACCCATCAACGCGATTATCTCTTTTAGAAGAATCCTCATCAAAATCGACCTTAACACCAGCCATTAAAATACGGTGACTTAAAGAAGCCTGTTTCTACCACCAAGTCCACCAAGTCCACTGAATATATCTTTGAAGTTCACCAACAAATAAAAATCAAAGCTATTTCATAACTTACCAGAAAGAAATATTTCAGCCCCTCGTTCAAAAACTTATCACCCATGTTTGACGATACTCTTGACTCCGACAAGAGAGAGAGAAAGAGAGGTATGTATTCCAAGATCGGAGGCCTAGTCCTAAATGACAGATTTGATCTGATGAGAAGCCGGCAATGTTATTTCCGTGTGTAGTCGCTACCCCGAATGACAATCACAATAGCCAAGTCACCTGCCTGCAATAGCTTAGGACTTAGGAATCATCCAAATACACTCAGCTGTGTCCGGGTCCAGGGTCTAATGAACATGCCAGGTCTGAAAGAAGTTGGATCAAAATTACAGAGCTCTTCGACAAAATAAGTCTATCTCGTCTCTAGACTCTAGCTGCATGTAGCAATACAAAGTGTATACACGAATCCACCGTGTGCCAATGGGTAAAGGTATATGAACTCAATCGTGTATGTCATTAGCGGTGTTGGCTCACCAGCACTGAAAATGGTTCCAACAAATTAAAAACGCCTTTTCCGCAGTTTGGGTCGTACTCGGAAAGGAAATTAGTTTATCATTTTGGATTGTTTACCGAGAACTTTGACTCATATGAGAGTTCCGCACGTGTACATGTTATGAGAGGACATGACCTAAAATTGTATATGTTGTCATTGCACCGACGCGCCAGCTCTAGATCTACGACTTCGAGGTTACTTTAAATAGTCTTCCTTTATTCAAGGGTCCAATTAACCATAGAACTACGGTCTATGAATTAACTAAGTACTTATCATTTTGTCTTTCTCAGTTTCACATGGTCGTGAACACTCAAAATCACAATGTCATACTCATTTATCAGGAAACTGGAATTTGATCGAAATATTAGTTTGGATTAGACATCATCAGTAAATTCTTTGAGAGTTAATGTTTAATTTCGCCGGGATGCGTACAAGCTTTTTCACTTCTCGTATAATATTGAAAAACCATCTTTAATATTTTCTCTGTTATATTCAGATTGTCTATGTCCATCATTTTGTGTTTTCCATAAAACCAGATATTTGGACTTTTCATGATTTTAACTTGTACGATTAAGTTTCTTATTAAAGACAGTCCAAAACCCAAAAGCAGAAAGCCATGCAATCAGCATGATCCAAGATACATAAGAGAAACACACCAGTGGTCTAGTATGATACTAGGTGATTTCAATCAAATTAAATCCTTACATCATTTTAAAACAGAAAAGAACGTAAAGGATATCAAAATGAGCACAGAACAACAAAACAAAATATTTAATTGATATTCTATTAAAGACAGGTAATGGTTGAGGTGCGATCTCCGATCAAAACTAATTAAAATCCGTTTCAAACAACAAAAAAAAACCACCCCTAAGACTTATCTGTCTGACATAATAATAATAATAATACAATATCTAAAAAGCGCATAATAATCATAAGTTTATCTTTCGCCATGGTTACCCCCCCCCCCTCCCCCCTCCCCCCTCCCTCCCCCCCCCCCCCCCCCCCCTCCCTCCACCCTCAATAATTTATTCCAAGTTTGCCACTGGTTCATTGCCATTTCCTATATCAGGAAATCGTTTATCATGGAGGAAAAGCCAAGCTTTCCTATTGAGAAACCATTCTTCCTATATAGTGGGGGGGGGGGGGGGCACTGTACTCATAAAATCAATTTGCAGTGGTGCCTATATTCAAGATTAATTTCGATCAAGCTTCATCATATTTAAAAAGGGTAAAACAAGATTAAATACGAAATTAAAGGGTTTGAACATTGGGAATGTAAATTGCACCGAAGAGTGAAATAAATTTGGAAAGGAAATTTACAATCCGGTTTTTAATCACTTCAAACTGAACAGTAGCCTTATTTAATATCCTTCCTCTTCATTTTGTGTGAAATCTTTCCTACGTGTTCTGTCATTTGATTGAACTTCAGCTGTAGGAGTACATCACAGTTATAAACTACATACCAGGGATGATATGCTTCCCACTTCCAACCTTGCTTTAATAATTCAGTACGTTTGTCGGCCCTAAACTGTTGGTCGTTATGACAAACACAAGTGAAACATGTACATGTAGCATAAGCAACAACAAATTATTGTCTAGCCCCCCCCCCCCCTTACTCAACATCATGCAGTCGTATTGTCGGGGTCATCTCGTGGGGAGGGGTTGTTGAACATATAACATATTTGTATATATTAATTTATCATCATGTATTTTTTCCTTCTTTTCTTTTTCCTCTTTATTTGAAAAGAAGAAGAAAAAATGTTGTAAAAAGTATTAAGAGTAATTTAATTTATTTTCATCCCTGTATTGTATTCCAGAAGAGACATGCAGTAGTACATTAACTTATGTCATTCCTGGTTAATGTCATCTTTACTCTTGCACTCAATTATCTATGTTATTTAAAAAAAACGAGAATGATTCCATTTGTATAAATTTTAATGAATAAAACTTGAATTGAATTGAATCGAATTGAATTGCAGTATCGTGGACGAATAATTGTTTGTTTTTTGTGGAGTTTTGTAATATATGACACAAGAGATTGTATCGATCGCACGATGTATCTATATGTTTACCTTTAATGGTTGTGTGTATATTATCTGTAGTCCTTCAAGCACCGAAGTGTTGATTGTCAATCAATGACTGATGAAGTTTCGATGAGGAAGAGTATTCGTGCTTGGTACTAAGGTGTTTGCTATAATATACATCAATACGAATAAACACGGGAGGAGTATTTCTTCTCATCATCGTTGTCTATCCGACACATACACACACACGCACACGCACGCACTCTCTCTCTCTCTCTCTTACTCATTCTTTACTTTCTTAGTGTCGTTTTCTATTCGTCACTTGCCTTGTTAAATTCTTTCTCTCTCTCTCTCTCTCTATATATATATATATTCTTTCTCTCGCCCTTGCACTACCTCTCCCTCCTTTTACTGCCTCTTTTTCCCCCTAAGCTTTCCCCCTCTCTCTCCCTCTCTCTCTCTCTCTCTGTATCTTCCTCTCGCCCTGCATTCACCCTCTCTCTCTCTCTCTCTCTCTCTCTCTCTCTCTCTCTCTCTCTCTCCACTCCTCGTTCAGGTCATTTTGATTTACACAAACATTTCAAATAAGACATAAATAATGATCACATCGTCTTTCTTTTTTTAATATATTTAATTTGAGTCACATAATTTCCATCAGTCATTTAAAAAAAACATTACCAGTTAACTCCAGCGGAACAATCACACACATGAGTTAATTGCCAATTCATAATTGATCATTTTTCAGCTAACGATTATATACTAGTAGCCCCTTCAGTACGAATGAATTCTTCATCAAATACAGTGAAAGTAGTTTTAGTAATAATCATATGCATTGTTGATGAAATTACATCATGTGTCTAAACCATGAACTTCTTAGGAATACATTTTGTTTAACTAAGTCTGAATAAAAAAATATTAAAAATATTTGTGCACTATATTTTCTATAACAAAACAAAACAAAGGAAACAAATGTGAGAAAATAAAATAAAGAGAAAACTATAAAATACAAAGGGTTGGCATTCCAAACGGCTAAGAACTACTGTTACACAATTATACAAAGACTAAGAAATCCTTCGTCAACCAATTTATAAGAATCATGGGTGTCTATAAGTTGTGCTTTTTAATTTTTCATTTCTTCAGAATAAAATCAATTTAAGATGATTACTTGATAAATTACATAATAAAAATAAAGATTACTTGATAAATTACATGATAAAATAAACAATTTTAATAATCTTAAAATTTGTATGGTCTTATGATGTAGATTGGTCTTATGATGTAGATTCACACACCCCCCAAAATAAGTTTGTTCTCTACTGCATGTATGCCTCCAACTGTAATGACACTGGCATGTTCAAACATCCACTCTGACATAGCTATGTTCCGATGCTCCTATGATTCTGATACCTTGTAGTATAGCGGTGTTTTGGACAGATGCATGAAAATTCAGCTACCATTGGATCTCGAGCTAAAAACACTGACTAATCAACCGTGGCAGAACACTGTCTTCTGACTTCATTCATTTGATATCTCTGTACCTTCTCAAGAAATTGAGAGTACCTCGTTTGTGCTATAAAGACATATTTTGGCAGCTGCTGGAGAAATTCTCATTCCTGATTTTAATCACACAGGTTCCCCTTTTACCCTCATTTAGCTAAAGAAAATAAAGACCTACAGAGCTTTTACTTAGAAATTATGCAATTTAAAACCGTTCTGGAATAATGAATCACACCCTGGTGCCCTAATTATCGATGCAATCAACAGAGAAAAGATGCTTTTAGTTACAGATTTATTTCAAAAAGGATTCCTTTTTTGGGGGGTAAAAAGGAACTCATTATTAAGAGACTTTCTCAATGCTAGCAAGCAAGATAGGGAGCTAAGCAAATTATTGTTCAAAATGAAGATACATCCAGAACATGTCAAATGCACAATAATGCTGATGTTGGTGAATTTGAAAGTGTTATTTGACATAATATTTTGCATAATCAAGATACATGAAGTGGAGATACCCATCAGCTCTATCATAGTTCTACCTCTCTGCCCCCAAAACAATAATGCAGTTTGTGTTTCACATGGTTGATCAGGTACCACTATCTTTCACCAATTAACCCATCACCTCTCGAACCCGGTGGCTACTGTATAAAGCCTATGGCAATGAAGGAATTCAGTATTCAACTGGTTAATTAAATATTTCTCAAACACCTAAAACCCAATTTCTAAATGTAAGTTCCTTTCTTGCAAAAGACGTGAACACCATGGTCTGTACTCTACTAATTGAATCTAACCTGATCTTGTGTCTAAGATAACATTTAAATAACAAAAGTAAAACTAAAGCCTCAAATTTGCTACCCTGGATTTTCAACAATTAAAAGCCCAAACTCAGGTTTAAATTTGAGTACAATACAGCCTAAAAGACATCACCATCTCCATACAAAAATCAATTTCTTATCATGCTGTCACCATTTAACAAATGTAATTTTTTTCATCCCAAACAACATACCACAAAGTCCACAATAATGTATAAATACAGTTAAAATATGCCTTCTACAGTTGTATTGCTTTTCAATTTGACAATTTTGAGATCTCCTAAAACTTTCCACCACACTGGAATAGCCATCTTATAATGATAAACTATACATGTAGCCTGTGTAATTCCATGTATATATAATATATAAAATATTTTCAGATCATTAAATATGTATCTAAAAATATGGTCTACTTCAGGGGACGAATGCACTGTTCATTACTTCGTCTCCTTTTTACTCCTGAAAGAAAAACAAAGATATAAAGAGGAGAGTAAATAATTTTAATTAATAATTGCATGTTCTACTAAAACAAAAAGCTACAGGTGAGTACAAATGTCTTTCTTTTTTGTTTTCTCTTTTGTTTTCTTGTTTATTCATCCACCATTGGCAATGATTGCCAATTTGAAGAAAATGTTGCTATACAGATTAAGGGAGGGGAATCAA